ATTTGACTGAAAAATAGGCGTTCTGTTTTACTGGCAGTGTTGCTGAAACTGCAATCGTGCATGCAAATGCGAACGCGTTTTCCAGCACACACACACGCACACAGACGCGTGCGCGCGTATATATACATTTGTGCGTCACAACCGCCATGAACGCGATAAATCAAGCTCCATTAAATGTGATTGTTAATGCAATAGTGTTAAAAAAATTTATGAATGTAAATAATGAATTGAGAATCATGAATAACAATTAACCGCTATTTTGTATTACTTGTCATGGTATGGATCATTGTACATATTGCTATGAAATGTAAATAAGTATTTATAAACAGTTTGGCTGTATACATAGCAGGTCATTTATTTATTTATTTACACTGTATCCTTTGCACATAGAAAAAATGATATATAATTAAATATACTCAAAACTTAATCTTCGAACATAAATAAAACGTAATGAAATAAAGTAAAATTTATTATTCTAAACATAAATAAAAATGTAATTAATTAACACATGTTGCACGAATGCTTTGCCGCCAAACTCTCAACGGGTAGCGGGCGATTTTTTACAATTCGTACACAAAATTACTTCTGCAGAAAGTAGCTGCAGTTTGTGAACTTTAGGTATTTATAAAATAAAACTTAGTTTCTCTTTAGGCTTATAAACATTTATAAACTTGGAAACAAAGTAGTCCATCAGTCAACTATTCATTGTTATTGAAGTGCCAGGTCTTCCATAACATACGAAAGCTGTATCTTGTTATTGTTTTCGGAAACATTGGCGTTTCTATACACGGATCCGTGTTCCAATAATCCTCTTTTCGGTCCTTATGCACTTGTCCTATAAGAAGAATAAGCCCCAAAAATTTCTTCATGTCTTGTATCGTAATGTCTTTCCATTTGAGGGTTTTCTTGGAAGTTGTGAATTTATCATTATTTTTATAATAATATCAATTTGACTCTTCTATAAGGAATGTAAGAAAATTATCGCCAATAAATAAAGCTACAGCATCCGCTACATTATCCGGAACGTTTTTCGTATCTATTCTTGATCGACCTAAAAACTCTTCCAAGACTAGGCGTTTGTCTACTGATAAACATTCTTCTTGAGAATCAGAATTATTCGAATCCGGGCTTGAATCAGAACTGCTTGAAATTATTCGTTGAATAATAGTTCTAGAACGATATCTAATTTCGTCGTCACTACAATCATCATTGATAACCTAGTCATCGCAATTCGATAAACTATCTGCATACAAATCTTCATCTTCACATTCTATTTTATCGTTGTCCATCCTGTGATTAATGTTAACGGACAGTAGAATTTGCAATAGGTATTTAACACGTTCACGCCGGCGCTGTTATTTGTGTTTCTCGCCGTGGGGCGGCGCAGTAGTCCATGCAAAACGACTTTAGTTGCTTCCCGCGCAAGATGTGTTAAGATTGAATTAATTGATATGAGTACGTATATACAGGGTCTCCCAAAAATGTTGGAGGTCCTTGAAAGGGGTGGTTCGTGAGGTGACTTGAAACAACTTTTTCCTTAGCGAAAATATTGTCCAAGGCTTCGTTAAGGAGATATTAACAGAAAACACTGACTTCGATGCACGTCGAGTCACTTTTCTCCGTTTGAGAATTTCTAATAATTTATCCAGCCGCTCCATTTTCTTCTGCGTGCTGCTTATCACGCTCGTCTCGCCGTCTATTACTTTCTTCTAGCAGTTCATCCAATTTCTTTTCGTTTGCAGTGTTTTGGCGTCTCCGTTTTGATTCTGCAACCAAAACAGATCATGAAATGAAAAAGCATTTTCGACTTTTCATAAAATTGGCCATGAATTTTTTAGCACAAATAATATTTAATATTGTAGGAATATAAGAACGAAAAATAAGGCACGCAGATTCGAACCCACGATCCTCGGATCCACAGTCAACCGCTTTACCTACACGACCAATCCCGTATAAATAATATTCTTCCATCGAAAAAATATTCTTCGTTATTGGATAATCGTGTAAAAATTAATTATAAACATAACTCAAAGTATTTCCCAAAAATATAGCCCGAATCTGGCAGTTTTCAAAAATAGGTTTAACAATATAAAAGTAGTAGAGACAAAAAAGAGTAGCAGTCACGTCGTCAATTATCTGTACTGAATACTTCTCCATTTTATATGTTTTATAATATTTTTTTTATCACAGAGTATTACCACAAGTGTATATCACAAACAAAAACACAACACTGGGCGCCGCCATATGCAATACTGACTCTGCATTACCTCCCTGCTGACAGTTTCGACAGCCGGAAGCCAGCAATTCCCTAGGATCGATGTCCGACAAAATGGTAGTACGTTACAGTCTAGTCAACTGTACTGGAAACCATTTTCGAACGGAAATTCAGTACTGACGGTACTGTCAGCCAATTTCCGAACACGGCCCACATACAGTTTAGGGCATTTTAAGCAGGTCACCTAAATAATTCGTTTGTTTTTGAAGATAAAAGAAAATACATTAGACCAAACTTATTTGGTATCGGGGAGCCATAATCTGGTATTACCAATTTTTCTGTAGGTGGAGGCGTCAAAGAGATATGAAGATCAATTCTGTTTTTTCAAATTGAATAGTATGGTTTCTTACTTACAGTCTGGTAAAGTGTTTCAAGACGAGTACAATGACCTACTATGAAGGTCATTTGAGGTCATCCAAAGTGAACTGCAATAGAGAATAAATTGTGTCGGAGTTCTTAGCAAAATTCAAAATTTTGGGGAAGAACTGAAAGAAGACTTTAATCATCCAAATATTGTAGTTACTTGTAGTCTTCATGACAGGCGTTTATTTTATTTAGTTGGAAAATTTTACAATATTTTTATGGAAAAACAGTAAACATTGCATTCCAAAAGAAAGTAGTGAACAGTTGTGATCAGAGAGGAATATTTTCCTCATCTTTGAATTCTGAATATATACATTCTGTTATTTCTTTTGTTAAATGGAAAAACTCAACCTGGGAGCCCTTCACTTACCCCTTAAATCTCATTTCTGTTCTCAAGTAGGACGTGTATGGAAGCTTTATCGGGTATATCCTTCGTCCACAGGGGTATCTTAAAAGTCATTCCATAAAAGAATCGAGCGTAAATAGGTCGAACGAAAGAATTAAGTTCATCTTTTTTCCCGTACCCGTGGTCGTTTCGCTTCGTTAGCGAACGAAAGCTAACAATGTCGTATTTAAAATACTTTTCGATTGCCTGTAAATCCAATCGAGATTTAAGTCAATTTATATCGCCAATATTACGTCGAACAAATTGTATACAATTTGATGCAAGATATTGGGCAATTCTTTGATCCAATCTTTGCGGAATTAAATATTGTTATAATAAATATTGTTAAACAGATATGAAACATTTCATATTCGAAATATTGTTATTTCTTAAACGATCAGAAATAGGTTTACATTGCTTTCGAAATAAACATTTCTAAGTTGGTTTAACGCGTTGGCTGGCAAATTAGTCGAAAATTTATATGAGCTTAACACTTTGTTTGCACACAACTGAAACTTATTTTTGTTGAATTTAAACTAGCCCTTACTTTTGCAACTTATTTTCTTTAACATCTCGTTTTCAGAGTTAATTTATTTAGATCACCATATGAACGTATTAATAAAAGTTTTCATAGACCAATTCATAATTTTAAAAAGTCTCAACAGTAACATACTTAAAAATAAATATGTCACATCGCTTTGTGTCGAAAGCTACCTTTACCTTAGTTTTTCGAAAAATATTAAGACTTATAATTTCTATGTTATGAAATATGGTACGCAAACGTAGTGAAAAATAAATTACCCTCGACGAGATATATCGTGGCTTAAGCTACCTAACGTTTCACAATGTTAACACTTCCCCATGCCCTTCGCGTTTTATAAAAGCGTGAGCAGCTTATCAAAGTTGTACGATTGCATCCTCAGAAGTCGGGAGCTACCGAGACCGTTCCATTTCCACGAAAATCTGAAAATTTCGGACTTTATCCTCGCATCGGAAGAGCTGAATGCAATTCGCCTCGTTGCTTCGCTGTGCTCTTACATATGTATATGTATAACGTTGAATAGCTACCGCCTGATTCGCTATATTTCCTACCATCTTTTGCTCCCTTTTGCGTTTTCGTTCGTGTTACCGCGAAAAATACATAACGTCGCAGGATGCGTAATAATAGCCCCTAGGAGAACTAGGAAATGTCTCGCACAACAAATTCGACGTATTTGCACGAAACAACAGAGGGTTGCACTTTTTTCGATTAAGTACTCAGTTACCGTTAATTTCGCAAAATTTTCATTCGACAGCAATTCACAAGAAATACATTGTTTTCATAAAACAATTGCGAATTGCCAATTTTTTGACTACTCAATTGGCGTTAATTTTGCTAAATTTTCAATCGACAGCAGTTCATAAACATAGGATTTAGAATTATTAGATCTATTCATTAGATCCTTTATTAAAATACCTGATAGATACACAAGAGTGATACACACGACAGCCGTAATCGTTATAATTCGTGATCCTCGTTATGCGTATAATCGTTGCATGTACTTCGTTAGACTCTTTATTTAAAACGGCTGCGCCGCGGTCGGATTCTTTTATACGCACGGCGCCCGAACGTTCTCGAAATAATTTTGGATTTTTTAGGAAGATTTGACATATTTATGTTTGCTCGCAACCGTCTCTCGTTCCTTACGTATTATTATTTCGGCTCACACATACGGTCTTGCTCGCGGGTCAACACATTCACGCTATCACGCTGTGGTTTTTGTCGCCTTTCCTCGATTCGTGTTCGCACGTTTTTCTATAACATGTTTATCTACGCGTTCGTTCACCTCAGGTGATTTCGCTAATTTCAGGGATCATTCTGATTTAGATGCTCAAAAGAAGGCTGTTTCTGTTCATTTTTTTAAGAGTTTATTGGTATAGATATTGATATGAAACTTATTGGGCTTAGTAAGTACACTATCAAAATACGTATTCAAAATTTTATTTATTTATTTTAATCGTTGTTTATATTTCAACAAATGCAGATAAACACAGCTCTTCGCAAAGTAAATATGTCGCTGGCGGCGTTGATATTATGTTAACGGATCACCTGAAACGAAAAAATCAAACATTTTTAGATTCAGTATGACTGTGGCTCTCGTGTATTCTACGAGAATTAATATTTATTCATAAATAACACAATGGCGGAGATTAAAAAAAAAAGAACAAAGAGCGAGGTATTTTTTCATTGTTTCTGGCCAAAAAAATATAGTAAAAAGTAAAATTTTAAGACAGTTCTAGTACCCACTGAAGTTATTCATGTGTAGAATATGTGGTTAAACTTTCATTACGATCGGTTCAGTGATTCCGAAGAAATCACTACCGCCGACAGACAAAACGTAGTTTTGATAAAAACGCGTTTAATGTTTTTTCAATGAAAATTCCCGAAACTGCCTTACCTTAACTTCCAGCGATGCTTGCACCCTAAAAACGCCTTCTTCTGTTTTATTCTCACCTCTTTGGAAGATTCAGAGCTGCGGCGGTTAGCTAGTCGTGTTACGTACCAGGTGATGCGCGCTGCGTTTACCGCAAGACAGCTAAGAAAATTTAAATAAATAAATATTAAAAATAAATTTAAAATAGAAGGTAAAATATAGTCGAATGGAAACTGAAGAAAAATTATGGTGAAAGTGTTTATAAGAATAACAAGAATTTATAAGACGTTTTATTAACACGTCCCTAGGGACCGGCGCAAAACTTCCCGTTCAGGCCTCGTCGGTCCGCATGGACCCGGCAGGGCCCCCCTGACGGCTACTGTGGCCTGTTAGTTAGTTAGTTAGTTAGTTAGTTAGTTACACTAATTGTGACCTGAACGGAACGGCACAAGAATTCGGCATGGCGCTTAACGTGTTAATTTTGCTCTCTATCTCTCTCTTCCTTTTCCGCTTTACGACGATTCTTACTGTGATACTAATGAGAACGGCGAATAACAGTACTATCTGAAGAAAGTTCGACTTACAATGGATGGTGCGAAGGCGTCCTTTACAATAAATCTGGTACAGGTACAATCAGGTTGAAAGGATCGTTCGTGCCCGCGTTGCCAGGCAGTACAGTAGTGGCGGATTTGGATGGAGAATAGTTCTTTCCGAAGTGGCACGTGTTGGCAAACACACACACATACGCAACAGAACACTCGCGGGAACAGTTTAAAGCCAATTACGCGGCGAGATTACAATTACTATTTACAACGTGTGAAATTTTATTCTTAGACTACTCTTAATTATAAGAGGCGAAACAAAAATATGAACAAAAGGAATTTCTAACATGGCGAACTGAGTGTTTCGCGATCAATGTTTCGCATTGAAGGAACACTTTAACCGGGAACTCTGGCTCAAAATTATAAAGAGGATAGCTAAAGGTCGCTCGTGGGCGTCCGTTACGCTTGACGGGACTTTACAACGAGAAGTGACTTTGATTTCGCTGCTTCGAGCCAGAGATGGGCAAAATCTTTATCTAAATAAAAATTTTTAATATCGAATGAAGATGAAAAATTTATATCTCTTACTCGTCGAATAAAGATAAATAACTTTATCTTTATTCGATAACTGCCGGATAAAAAAATGTATTCGGAGTAAATGTACTCAAAGGATAAAGATAACTTAAATTATTTTTATTCGAAGGCTAAAGATATCTGTTTTATCTACAGAAAGTTTCAATCGTAAGATACTTTTCGCACTTTTAACTTTATCCGACGGTAAAGATACCTGCGTTAACTGCAGAGAGTTTCACTCGTTGGGTAGTTTTCCCATTTTTAACTTTAACGGACCGCTAGAGATACCTGGTTTCTCCCCGAGAGTTTCAACCCTAAGATACTTTTCCGCATTTGTATCTTTATTCGACGGCTAGAGTTACCTGGTTTCTCTTCAAAGATATTCACCCGTGGGTTATTTTCGCATTTTTATCTTTAACTGAAGTTTCACTCGTCGCGTGGGATATCTTTCGTACTTTTATCTTTATCTGAAATTATCGGATAAGGGTCGAATAACTTTTTAAGCGGTGTTTACTGTTTAGTCGGCGGTTGTAAAGTATAGTTATACATAATTATACAGGAGTAAGGAAGTATATATTTGCGCATATAGACGTGTACTGTAGGTATAAATTGTGGTCTTTTTAAATGTTTATAACTATTGTTATTGCAAAATTCCTATTCTTTGATTTAACTCGGCGACTAGCGGTCGGTTAAAGTTAAAAATGGGAAAACTACCCAACGAGTGAAACTCTCTGCAGTTAACGCAGGTATCTTTACCCGTCGGATAAAGTTAAAAGTGCGAAAAGTATCTTACGATTGAAACTTTCTGCAGATAAAGCAGATATCTTTAGCCTTCGAATAAAAATAATTTAAGTTATCTTTATCCTTTGAGTACACTTACTTCGAATACATTTTTTTATCCGGCAGTCATCGAATAAAGATAAAGTTATGTATCTTTATTCGATTTTCTATTTAAATAATTTTTTTATCTAAATAATTTCCGAGCAGTATGAGTGCCGTGGATTGGCATCAGTCCAAATTGTATGATAATATCCTGCCCAAATTTCATTTCAAATATTTTCGATCGAATCTTTATTTCTTTTTATAGGTATATCTCAGATAAATTCAAAAAATTCTTGTTTTTATTTATTATTTTTAGATTGGAATCACCGACAGTACTAAATAGATTATTACGGAAGTATTATAGGGATGAATAATTGGTATTTCTTCTATTGGTGTTGGAGGGGCCTAAGGCGTTCGTCACATTTCTTTGTTTTTTCTTTGCGTTTCCTGAACAATCGTACTTTTTTGTCTTTCGGTATCACTTACTCGGGCAGGTAGACATAACTCTTCGCAAAGTTGACCTATCGAGTCCGGACTTTCTTTGTTTGACGCAGAATCTTATCTTATGTATAAAACAGTGAAGATGGTTTGTCAAAATTGTATGTAGGAAAAAAAATTAAAAATAAAACATTTGTGAAAAAACAAAATTTTGGTTCAAAGACGTCCTGTTTTTTTTTGAAAAAAACTCATCACTGTTTTGTAGTTTAGACTTTGTAGATGTTACGCGCAGACATTTTCGTTTTTATTTTTCTTGATTTCGTCGGCAGGAATGTGTTCGAGATGGTTTACCATCCCGAATTCGTTCTAATCGAACACAAACCTAGCCTTTGACGGTAGTTTATTAAATTCATTTTTGAAGAAAATACACATTCCCTCCTTGAAATCAACGTCGTCACGCCACTTCCACCCTGCTGACAGCGCTGTGCCGTGGAGAAATCATGTAAAATGTAACATGTTTAGTATGACTGGATTGTAAAATAATAATATGTACGCGCTGCGCCGTGAGAATGTTATGTATCAATTATTATTAAGCGATATGAATGTTCACTCGCCGTGGGAACGGAAAAATCACACGAGTGTTATCAAAATAGATAAGAATTCTCTTCAAGCCAGATCGTTTTAAATTGCACGCCGAACTTCCGTCGCGAACCGCCAGAAACCACGTTTTTGATATAAGCAGTTCGCGTAACATCTCACACCATAGTACAGCGCGTTGCGAAACTTAAGCACAGCGCTTCAATTTTCTTTCTCTTTCGCTCTCGTTGGCCGACCGCATGATACCCATGAAATTAAAACTCTTGAATTGGATTGTACGAACAGCATAGAAGTCTTAGGATTTGGCGGAGCACACGGACACCTTAGTCAGCCTAGGAGTCTACCCAATTAAAATCCACTGTCGTTACGGCTGCACTCTGATTCGGCACCTCCGAGAATGCAGCGCAAGCACTTTGTAAACATCGCACCGAGTTGCGCTCAAAGCAGCGAAGTCAAAATCACTTTTCATCGTACAGTCGCGTCGAGCGCGTGAATAGTCCGAGCGAACTATATTTGAGCAGAGTTGTGTACCGCGTTACCTCGTTTATATTATTAAAAGTGAGTGGTAGGCAAAGACTCTAGTTCCCCGTAAAACAACTCGTTTTATTCAATTTTTTTTATTAATTTAATTTATTTAAATACTTTAATATTAAATCTTTCTTTTTTTTTTGTAAATATAGTTTAGCGTTAATTATAACCGTAAAACGTGTGCGTGTGTTTTTCCTTCAACCACAGGGCGACCAGAACAACTCAGAACATCGAGATATCTGGGATATTAATAAAATCTGGGATATTAATAAATGATATAATTCATTCCGGGGTAATCCTAGTTGATATCCCAGAAGCAAATAAATATATATATTTTCATTGTTTTCTTCTATACAATTTATGTTTAATTTTATATGAATTAATTAAAAGAATGAAGGAGTGTGATCTATTATAAATATATAAATTTCAAGGTCTAATCATTGGTTTATAAAATACACATCAGACAATGATATTTCAATAGTAAAATAGCTTTCAATATTTAATTTAAATTCACTGTTGAATCCGCTCGCATCCTAACCGTCCATCCTATTAAATACGAAAGAGAAATTCACATACGAGCCTGGGCCCGTACGGGACTGCTGTGACAAAGACCTGACCTTGCCGATACGCAAGTAAACTATATATATATTTTTATTATTTAAAAATTATTTAAGCTGTGACGCAGGAATCTGTGTCCCACGTCACATAGAACAACTAGATCAGATAAAGCTTAAGTGAGAAAAGATGTCAAATTTTACTTATTAAAAAACAGCTGGTACTGCCTCGTTTAAGGGGGTATCCTGAATAAGGAGGTCTAAAAAAAGCAGTTTTTCGTAAATTTTTTCAGGATAGAAAAAAATAATTAATTTTATCGAACTTTTTATCCTATTTTCATACATATTTGAGTAGTCTGTACAAATTTTTTCAACAAGAAATATACAAATTGAATCGACTGTGACGCACATTTGTAGAGCAGCTCATAATTAAAACCTCCTATCGGCGGGAAAGATGCAGGTCGTAATTTTGATTTGACACGAAAAAACCAAAAGAAATTTTCATTTTCATACATTTTTCTTCTATGTGAACTAAGAAAGACCCACAAAAATGGTGAAATGTGAAATTACTGCAAGTTTGAAAAAAAGAACGAGTTGTTTGGGTGAAAAAAATCACTTTAACTTGATAAAAAAGTTGCTCAAAATTTTTTTGTATGAATTTTTTTAGTTCACATAGGAGAAAAATCTATGAAAATGAAAATTTCATTTAGTTTTTCGTGTCAAGCCAAAATTACGACCTGTATCATTCCCGCCGATAGGTTTTAATTGTGAGGTGCTCTAGAAATGTCCGTCACAGTCAACTGAATTTGAATATTTCTTGTTGAAAAAATTTGTACAGTCTACTCAAATATGTATGGAAATAGGATAAAAAGTTCGATAGAATTAATTATTTGTTGTCATCCTAAAAAAATTCACGAAAAACCGCTTTTTTTAGACCTCCTAATTCAGGATACTCCCTTAAAGACATTATGAAATCCATTCTTGTTCATTCATACGCTCAGTAAAATATACTAAAGATTTAAGTACAATACGTCACACAATTTCTCCAGAAACGTTTTCTGAATACACCTATCTCGAAAGTGCTCGTACAGTGGTCTGCCCCCCTAACGTCCCGCTGGGCACAAAAGCATGAAAGAAATTGCCACGACATGGTAGCGTCGTTCCTTGACCGTAGCTGACGCAGATTGAAAGAGGAGAGCATCAATAAACGCTTGGCGGGCAGCTCCACTCCCAGCACGTAGATGAGTATCGTAAGATCTCCGATGACGTCGTCCACCACGTTGCCGCGGCCGTCGTCGTGTATCCCATGATCCCCTTGACGGAAGCTGCCTATTAGGCGAGCAATGATGATGCCAACGGACACCCAGGTCACCGACAACTCAACGTAGCGGTGCCGCGCAGAGACCGGCACTGACGATAGTGTGACATGGGATGAAATTCTCACGTCATGGCTTAAAAAATAATTGTATTCTATATAATATTTTACTTGCCTATCGACAAGGTCAGGGCCTTTTCGTCCCATACTTTATGGGAGTTGCTCGAAAGATGTTAAGGTGGACATACACAAAACAACAACGAAAGTTTTTACAAATACGTTTGGAGTATGGCACCTAAACACATATTTAATGGAAAGAAAATAGTAATTACGTCCCA